GTACAGGGAACCAAACTCACCACCTTGTGCTTGCCGGGCAGGCGCTTTGCCGCTGAGCTAAATCCCCAGCTCCCCCCACCCCCTTCTTCATAGGTAGAAAGTCCCATTAGATCTTCTCCACAGTATTTTAGGTCTGTCCCTTCCTCTGCAATCTCCGGCTGCTCATTACAGTAAAGTCCTAAATTACCTTGTAAAACACCCCTATCAACTTCTGAGGTTGTTGGTTGAATAGACATGGCATTGCATTGAAAAGACATAACATTACTCCTTTGCTCAAATATCTACCATTTAATCTGACCCCATTTATTGCTACCTATTTTATCTATATGAACCCTCCACCTCAGGGCAATTTGAGATCCTCAGTACTATCTTTTCTCTTCCTTCTAGTTACCTCCCTGCCACGAGTCTTATTTCTGGTCCAGCTGTCCTGATTTGCTTAGCACTATCCTGGCTGTTTTTCTTTGAAAGCTCTACGCTTTGACAAAACCCTCAATCCTGGCAAAAGAAACCTGCTATGTAAAAAACTTACATTTCAGCGAACTGGCTGCTTAACTGTAGCTTCACATCTTCGGCTTCTATTTTATCTACTAGAGATCCAGTAGAGGGTAATTTAAGATTGGATGCTAGAAATATGCCTTTGTTTCCTGATTTCTAATTGTGTCCACACTTTCTCACCCACTTCCTCTTTCTACCTGCTGACCTCCTCCTTTCTTATGAGAGGAATGGAAGGAGGAGATTGGAAAGACAAGTACTCGTCTGAATTGAAGAGGCTGCTCTGTGTGGGACAAAGCAGATGGGCCTGAGCTTGTACTGTCACTCACCAGCTGTGTGATGCTTGGGGATTTCCTAGCCATGTTAAGGGTCATATGTTCACTTTTGTTATTCTAACCGTAATAAAATCTGCATAGCAGGATTGTAATGAGGGCTCAAATCGGGGATACCTAGAGGTTACTCTCATGTATGCTAGGCATAGTTATTATAATTATTATTAAACTCTATTATAAAAATCAGATCAAATTTGGGAAAATTGAGGATTGTGACTTGTGCTTATAAAATTGTGCTTATAACTATATTCTCACATATATGGACGATCTCCTGTGTGGTATGCGTTATCACGCGGGCTTTGAGAAAATATGCAATGTGAAATTTAATAGGTTTTTGAGTTCTTCCATTTCCCTTTCTTACCCTTTTCCTCCATTTTTCTTATTGACTTTCTTCTCATAAATTCAGTATTTTTATTTGCTTTGTTTTCACTTTGAGGAGTGCAGTATTTTAGTCCTCATATTTTTCTTTTTCTTTTTGCTTTTTAGAGCAGAATATATTTATGGGGGAAAAAGCTTCTGTCCAAGAGAGAGACGGAAGGGAACCCAAGGGAGTTGCCCTATATTTCTCCTACATAGACATAAATCGGATTTTTTTCCAAGTATATCTGTATGGCAATATGCCAGAAGTAGAAAAATGATTAAGATAAAGTGTAAATAGAAACTTTTTCTTCTTTTCTGCAAGAGAAATATGATTTTAAAGTGGAACTTTATTATATGTAGCTATACATGTGTGTAATTTACATATATATGTATATATTGCTAACTACTACAGAAGTTTTAGAGGGAGTGCTTTACATGCTTTGTACATATCCATTTTCTGCGTGTCTTCTGTATCCATGACTGTCATTCCCCTATTTTAGTTCATTTATGTCCTTATTGTTAAAAAATCTTTCAGTCTAAAATTATATTAGTAGCTTTTTCTGGCTCTTACATTATTTTAGAATTTTCTTCTTGGTTTAAATGTCATGTTTTGTACAGTTTGGCATTTTTTATAACAGCAGATGATTTTTTTCCTGTTTCTTTGATTTATTATAAGAATTCAAATGGTAGTTTAACTGTTTATTAAATATTTCTTGAAACAAATTCTTCTTCACTTGAATTCTAAGGATTTGGTTTTCTTTTTTCTTCACAATTTACCCACTTAACTTCTAAGTTTATGAAGTATGTTAGTTAAGTCCATTTTATCTTTTCTGGCAGTCAGACGTATGAAAATGATTTCTGAGAATTTAAAATTAAAGAAGTAAAAGCATTAGAGTTTCAGAAACTTCCAAAGCTTAGAATTATTATTATTAATTTTGTAAGATTGGGTTTCTTTTTTCCACTCAGTTATGCTTAATGAATAAGACGATTCCTTCCCAATGAATACTTTTTTTAAAATAGGTGATCAAGTGGTCTGGATCGGATACTATGGCTTAGTGTATAACCTGGTGAAAATGTCATGGGAACTTCAGGGTGATGTGGAGGAGGATGGATTTGGAAACATGATTTGGCAAACATTACAAAAAACAAAGGATTATGAAAAAGATGCACGGATCCTAAATGCAATACATATTGCCCAGGTAAGATTTTTTTTTAAAACCCCATCTGATCAATCAATTGGTACTTATATCAGGAATCACACTTGTCAATGTCTGTGAAAAGAGGAGTGTTCTCTTTCAGTTTTAATGGCACAACATTAAGAATACTATTGTTAAATTTACTACTGACATATTTTTGTTTAGAGATAAGCAGGGTAATCTCTAATGGTGGCAGAAAAACAGATCTCCAACGGTTCAACAGAAACAATAAACAATAAATCTAGGGAAAGTACAGACCAGCAAGCAATGATTCCAACATAGAAGTCCTATTTGGTGGAAAGTTCTTATAGACATGGAGTAGACATCCTAGAATGAAGTAAGACATCAAGCCCCGATTCTTTCTTTTTTTAGAAAATCTCGTGAAGAAGCTTGGAAAGTTACAGAAGTTCTAATGGGCAAAACATATATATTTAATTTGAGGTCATTGCTAGTATGGACAGCGGAAGAGATGTGCAGAGCTATTTGCACCTTGCTCCTAACATCTGTCAGAAGAGGCAGACTGTGGCTAAGATTCAAAACAGAGGGATAAGGGACTTCGCTGTGGTTTAGCTTCTTACGGTGCAAGGAATCCAGAGATCTGTGCTCACTCTCGAGTGTTTCCTCCCTTCCCAAGCTCAGTGGGCAGAAATACCAGGAAAGCTAAACAGCCACAGCACAACACTGCACTAGCAAAAGGCAACAGATGGCCCTAACATCAGTGATTTCAACATAGAAAATGCATAGGTAAAGGTAAAAGTTGCCGTACTGGTTGGCCCCTTAGTTTGCAGACTCTCTTCCTCTCTTCAAAGCCTGTTTGATACTTGGCTTGCAGACAGAACATGTATCACCTAGCATTTAAAATTACAATTTAAAAGCTTAAATTTACCAAACAGGAGGACCATATTATTCTAATGTTGTAATATGGTAATGACGTACTTAACAAATATCTCATTTAAAGATGTAGACAACAGAATCATTTGTTTTTTTAAATTTGTCCTGATATATAAATAAATTTGTCCTGATATATAAATATTACATATTAATGAGGAAGACGTGATGTTTCAGCACATGTATTCACTGTGTGAAGTTTAAGTCAGGTAAAACATACATATCTATCTTTTCAAACAAAGCTACCATTTCTTTATGAAGGAACCATTCAGAATCCTTTCTTCCAGTTTTGTGAGATGTGCAGTGCATTACTGACATCTACAGTCACCCTGCTGTGCACCTGCACCCCAGAATTTCTTGCCCCCGAGTAACTGGAATTTAGTGTCTAAACTTTTGCCATCCTTGCTCCACCCCAGCGTTACTTTTGTTCAGTTCAAAATTCCAATACATATTGGAGATGTACAATATTTGTATTTGACTATGTTTAGGATTAAAAAAATATTTAAAAATCAATAACAAAATTTTTATGTTGAATATTTTAAAACATTAAAAGTAACAAAATGATAAATAAAATTTGGAAATCAATTGGAAATTAAAATATGCCTTGATAAATAAATATTAGTAACAGGAAGAAATTAATTAGCCCATTTGTAAGGCTTAGTTTTCTTATTTTGCCGAGATGAACACTGAGGCATCTATTCATAGGCAGGGGGAGTTACAAAGGTCACGTAGGAGATAGCGAAGTCTAGCAATGGTGACAGAACCTAGGTCCAGGTTGCCTCCATGCAAAATGTCACTTGTGCTACAGAGCAGCAAAGTGACCTTGGGCATATTTGTCTTTCAGTTTCCTTCATTGGAAGTGAAATAAATAATGGCATGTAATGAGTAACAATGTGAGGTATGAGTTAGTATTATGAAGAACTTAACATTTTTTGCAAAAGAAATAAAAAAGTCAGGGTGATAAAAGTTGCTGTACTCTGAAGTATATTACTTCTTAATGTTTCCAAAAATTCTGACTTCCTGTTGTGTTGCTATAATGAAGCTGTAGGATGTAGGAAAGTTTGCTTTTAATCAAAAAGTCCCATCAGCTAATGTTGATGAATTTCAGATGAACAAAGTAAAATAAAACTGCAAAACACTTTGAGGAAATAGTAAACAAGTAGGCTACTAAATAAGCAGGTGAAATTCACTGTTTTTGTGCTGACTTCTGTCTGGTGTTGCTAATGGGGCAGTCTGCAACTCTTCATGAAACTGTTGGGCAGCAGGCTTGAAAAAGATTTACTTACTTTCATGGGGTAAACATGAGGTGAGATCCCCTAATGATTTTATTCATCTGTGTTATGGCTTGTGACTCAATGTACCCCTAAAGCCTCATGCAGTCATGGGGCAGGCTTCTAGAATTTAGGATTGATCCAGGGGCCAACACTGGGATTATGTGTGTGGGTGCTATACCTGCACTGGTGGGTAGCCTACACACTATATAAGGGAGGGAAAGAGGTTTGTTCTTCTCTGCCATTCCTCCCTTTTCGCTCTTGTTGCTTTTTGCTATCTTCTGCCACTATGAACTGTTGCCCTCTGCCATGTGCCACTCTGCCTTGGAGCCAGCCAAATATGGACTGAAACCTCCACAAACTGTGAGCTAAATAAAGCTTTCCTTCCTTAATTCTGAGCGTCAGGTATTTTGTCTCAGCAATGAGAGAAAAGTAACTAAGACAATCTGTTTCCAAATAGTTGAGGGGGAACTTCATTTATGTGGGCATGGTTTTTACCTTGCTGAATTAGTCTTAGAGTTGGGTATACAAATTACTGAAAATCTATGTGTAAAATTCTCATGGTCCTTCAAGTTTCTATCTTTGGGCACTGAGCACAGGCAGCCATACTGATGCCTGCCAGTGTTGCAGTCAGCTCTGTCCTGACGCTGGAGCTCAGAGGGAGGAGTTGGCTTTTGGGAACCGTGACTGTTCTGCTCTGGTCTTGTACCTTTTGGAGATGTTTGTAAGATGCTGAGCAAGCATTCTAATTGGCTCGGGTTAACATGTTTTCTTGCTGTTACTGTTGTGCAGCATTCTTATTAGTAGCAAATTAGTTCCCTTTCAAAAATGTCTTAATTTGTATAATAGATTAGTTATCTAGCTTGTTTTTATTGTCCAATGTTTTTGGCATTAGACAATATAAGTGGCAATTGTGGTGTTATCCACAATGTCTTTTTTCTTAAGTTAAAAATATATTTTATAGCTGCTTAATTTTTCTAGTTGTGATATATACATATATAATTATGAAATTAGCTATTAATTCATAAAATACACATATGACTTTTCAGTGATAATTTATCCATATAACATCTTCTAATATTAAAAATTTAATCATTTCTACTTTTTACATCATATTTTAAGGCGAGTTAATTTGTTGTCATTCTACAGTACACTTTTTCTATCATTGAAAGTTCTGATTTTTTGCTAGCTTTCACAGATTCAATTATGTAAATGTTCTTAATGACCTATTTTCTAATAAAAAGGTCAAAATTTTGGCTAATTTCTAACAGATATAGCGGACGACATGCATTCATTTCCTCCAATCTTATTAGTTTTTCTGTTGTTGTTTCTATGATTCAATCAATTATATTATTCTCCTAGCTTATATCTATTTTTACATGATACCTCAAATCTCCAGTGGGTCATACTGGGACTAAAGCAAATTCAAATTTGTTGCTTTTATAATTAGAATTCTATTTATATGCCAGTATTCAGGGCTAATCATTTGGTATAAGATGTTCTTCTCTCCTCAAAATTTTAGTAAATATCTATAGATAATTACATTTGAAATTCATAAGTCAATCAGACATAGCAAATATATTTTAGATATTAACTGTAAGCAAAAATCTCATTAGTTAAGTAGTCAGCTCTGAGAAAAAAAAATCAATGAAAGCATAACCATTACATGTGCTAATTACTTTTCAATGCTTAGTTAGAAGACTTGTAAAGACAGTTTTCATGCATTTTAAATAGAAAGTGAGTGAGGAAGGCAAGTTCTTGGGGAGAAAATATCTAACAAATTTCTAAGCCATTTTATTTAGGCATAGTAAATATTTAATAAGAGAAATAAGCTTAATTTGCATGAAATAGACTGAAAGGCAATATATTCTAGACCTATTTTAGATAAATATTAATTGAAGTAGAGACATTTGGATTATTATAAAACAATATGTGATTTATAGGTGTACATGATAAAGTATTAAGTGGTGGCATTGAAGTAATTCTTGAATTCTTTGACATTTAATTCAGTTTGAATTCTCTTACTGTAAAGACACTATAAATAGGCTGTTATATATAAAAGTTTTCACCAAAACAGTAAAATAACATTAAATAAACATTTATTTATTGAGTGCTGAGCAAGTATATTCACCCTTGTTAGTTTTATGTAAGATGGAAAGAAGTTTCTTATATTACTGAGATTCTTATTGTATTTTTTTTTTCTGGTATCAGGAATCGAACTCATAACCTTGCACTTGCCAGGCAGACCCTGTGCCACTGAGCTAAATCCCCAGTCCTTCTTATCGTATTTTAATACATACTATTCAAGCTGGAAACTTAAATTATAAATTTGATTCAGAAGGCGAAGTGAAAAGATCTAAGGGAGCATCTCTTATGTAAGGAAATGTCACGATCCAAATAGAAGCAAGAACAATATATATAAAAAAAATCATAGATTGACTTTCCTACTTGGGAAATAGTTTGAATTGATCAGTAGTGGACACTGAATTTGAAATACAGTATATATTTAGATTACCAACATAAGGTGGTAGAGTTTTAGGTTATTGCATAAAAATAGAAACGCTTAAGTGAAAGAATTAATGTTGAGTAAAAATTGTCAGTTCTACTTGAATTTAGTTGTTCGGTAATTGCATTGAATAAAACTTGTATGTATAATTTCCTTTTACCTCTTTTACAATAATACATTTCTGCTTTGGAATATGCAGTGTATTGTGAGTAATTGTCCCCGGTTTATTCGGAACTCCCTTTATCTGCACTCTTGCACGGTTACTGCTACGCTCAGCTCTTGACTTGGCCATGTCACTTGATTTGCTAAGTCATATAAGCAGAGATTTGAAAAATGCT